CGGCCGCGGGCTTCCCGCGGGGCCGCCGAAGGGCCGCCGTCGTTACGGGGTTCGGCTTAGATACCCGTGTGATGGGAATTTGAACGGAGGATTTGGTCAGCAGCTTGTGGCCACAGAGAGGCTGATGTTTCACTAAGGCTTTGGCTGTCGAAACCCAGTGTATTAAGCTTAAACGAAGGCAAGGTTGGTGTGTTTTTATGCGTGACTTCACCAGGGTGTTGTTAACCTGTGCTACATGTGTTCAGCTGCAGGCTGCTCGGACGCCCGGATCTCTTCAGGCACAGCTTGGTTGGCCGGAACCGCCCTTGGCTGGAAGCTATGAAGAAACGTTCTGCATAAAACTTCCGCATGACCGAGGCCATGGCATCTTCAGGGAACTTAGACGCTGGGGCCCAGTTAATTGTGGAAGAATGTCCCACTGCCTACAGCCTTCCGCCCATGCCGGACATTAAAGTGGAGCATCAGCTTGACTCTAGCACCGAAGAAGGCCCAGCTCAGAGCGTTGCTATGGGAATGAAATTCATTTTGCCCAATAGATTTGATATGAATGTCTGCTCGCGATTTGTGAAGTCTTTGAATGAGGAGGACAGTAAAAATATTCAAGACCAAGTTAACTCTGACCTTGAAGTGGCATCTGTCTTATTTAAAGGTTGAACTTCATGCTACAAATTGTTATGTGTGGACTGCATCATCCTGTTAAGCTGTGATGTATTTTTTTTAAAAAAGCCTCTGCCTTATATATATGTTAATCCGTAACGGTTTCCTAAGATTGTTCCCCTGACATTTTTATTATATGCTTGATGGATTAGTAATGTACAATTAATTTCCGCAAAGATTATTTTTTAAATCACATTTTAAATTATTTTTTAAATTGAAAAAGTAGTGGCACAAAGAGTCTTTAACACAAGCTGCTGCTTAATGTGAAAGCAAGCTTACTTCTTTTGTGTAGCTTGTCCTACAATATGCTGCATGTTGTTGAATGTGTGTATCTTTACAAAAAACTGCTGAAAGCACTATATGATCGTGTCAAATTCAGGAGCTTTCTGCAACGTGTTTCATCTTTTTGCTAGCAGAATTACAAAATAACATGAGGTTGTGCGGTTGTCTTTGTCAATGCAGCTGTACAAAGCTTGTAGTTGTGGTAGCAACTGGCTCGCCAGTTCGGCTTCACGCTATTTGAAAGCGAACGCTGCTGCAGTGCCAGATCCCTGCAGCTAATCTCCAGCCATTGATGGGCAGCTTCATCAGACTTGATCCGTGCTTTTTTACTGCTGAGCATGTCGATGGACAGCAGAATTAGGGCTTCTGTCTATTTCCCTGTAACAGTTGTGGTTTCCAGTGCTATCTGTAATATTTCAGACTGTTAGTGATGTATCTTTTCATGAGGCTGAATTTGACCTGTTTCCTGTAACAAACACAAACAGAACCTACTGTGGATTTTGATGATTTCTCTGATTTGTATTGTTTGCCTGCAGTTCAGCCATTGTAATTTTCAAACTTTTTTTGATTTGCAGGCCCTAAGTGCTTACTAGTAGAGCTGCAGACCTGAATGGCAAATTTAGACCCATCAGTGGTAGGGTTGTTTTTCTTGGGTAACATTTGTGAACCGCTTAGAAGTAGTCCTGTGGATCCAGTGACCGCAGGTCAAAAATCCCTGGTCTCTTGATTTGATCACGTCAGCTGTAGCTATTTGATCAGCAAACAAAATGTAATTTCATTTTCATCCTGTTACCTTCTACTTTTAATTGGTTCTCTCCCCAGATTTGCACCTGGGTTTATGATCATGAAGTTCTCTGCGGTGTGAATTCAGTGTGCATGTTAATTAGCTTCCAGTCATTAATTGTTGGTGCACACTGGTGTCAGATCAATTTAGCCAATAATGGAGTTTAATCCTTCAGTATGCTTTTCCAGTATTTAGTCAGTTAGCTTCTTAAAAATTATTTGGCTTCTCAGCTGCTTCTCAAAGCATACTTTTGAGAACTAGAAGCCAAGATAATATACCTATTTTGTAATAAAATGCCATTAGATTCTAATAGAAGGCTAGAAATGTTGGTGCAGCTGAACACAGCACCACGGAATGACAGCTTCAGTTCTAGGTGGTGACCTGCTGTTGCATTTTATGTAAGTTAGTGTGAAATCTCTCTCTTCCTGCTGGAGAAGTTTTCATAATGCATGTACAATTTTGTCCATCAGGAGTGGAATAAGTCCCGATGAAGAAAATTAGTGAAGGTCGTCTCCATTCATGCAGTGGACTGGTTAGAGAGCAGGTAAAGGGATGAGCTGAGCAGTAACCAGCCTGTGTGGCTGACCAGAGCTGCATCGTGTTGTGCTGGAGACTGTTAGTGAGGGTATGACAGGTGAAGTGGAGCCGTCGCACCTGATAAATCCATGCCAGGCACACTGAAAATGTAGACAAAGGCT